TGACACTGCCGGGTCCCCTCCGGGGAAGCCACCAGTAAAAGCACAGGAGGGTGCTCTATCCCCTCCTCTGGCTGTTTGAAATAAAAAAAGTCACTAGAGCAGCCAGATGCTGGCGCTGCGTCTCAGCGGGTGCTAATTTAGCCCATACAGAGTGCTCCTCAATCATTTGTTCTGGGCACAGCTTAATTGCAAAATTAATTATTTTCCTATCAGACAGAATTGCCTAAGAGGGTAGTCATGGGACAGGAGGGTGCTCTATCCCCTCCTCTGGCTGTTTGAAATAAAAAAAGTCACTAGAGCAGCCAGATGCTGGCGCTGCGTCTCAGCGGGTGCTAATTTAGCCCATACAGAGTGCTCCTCAATCATTTGTTCTGGGCACAGCTTAATTGCAAAATTAATTATTTTCCTATCAGACAGAATTGCCTAAGAGGGTAGTCATGGGATTTTTAAGCCTGATGGATGCTAAATGGGATTTGGATAAACAAAACCAACTTGGACTCCTTGTCTGTGCTGGGTACCACTAAGAGAGTGGTGGCACCGAGGCAGGGGGCGAGCAAATGCCTGCTGGTGGGGCACAGGGCACGGCTGCCACCAGGAAGGCAGGTGTGGGAGGTCCCAGCTCCGTACTGGGATGCTGATGAGCTGTGGATCGTGCTGCTGCCCACCACCAGCACAGCCCGGCGGCTGCGGGAAGTCTCCAGGGCCTGCTGCTGGTATCCCCGGTCCCTCACCCTGTCCCCTTACAGATGTGCCCCTTCCCTGTGACATGCTGGGAAGCCACCTCCAAAATTGGAGCTGACATGGGGACACAATAGCCCCTGGCAGGAGGGTGAGGAGTGGGGTGGGAGTGGCCATCACCATGGCATCAGGGTACAGCTGCCCCAGCCAACGGTATGTGGCAGCCTGTGCCCAGGCTGCTCCACACCAGCTGGTGAGTGGTCTGCATCTCAAGACAAGCCCATTCAGCTTGTCCTTGCTGGTGACCCGATCACAGGGGGCTCAGACTAACAGACGAGCAGAGCTAGCCACCACCCCAAACACACAACTTATCCCACAACAGGGCACACCAGACCTAGATTTTACCTGGAGGACACCCCATTTAACAAGGCTGCGGCTGCTCCACACCAGCTGGTGAGTGGTCTGCATCTCAGGACAAGCCCATTCAGCTTGTCCTTGCTGGTGACCCGATCACAGGGGGCTCAGACTAACAGACGAGCAGAGCTAGCCACCACCCCAAACACACAACTTATCCCACAACAGGGCACACCAGACCTAGATTTTACCTGGAGGACACCCCATTTAACAAGGCTGCATCCTCAGGTGATGACAGAAATGAGAAAACACGAACAGGACCAACACTCTGGGGTGGGGGAGGCACAAATGGAATGAATCATGATTGTCCCTGCAGAAGCTCTCCCTCCTCAGCCCCCTGGCAGCCCCTCCAGCACAGTGCCTGCCACATGGGCAGGGCCGTGGTGGTCAAATTGTCTCTAAATCACACAGAAACAAGCAAATTGATAAGGCAAGCACATAACCCTACTGTGAGAGAACCTTACCTGGGCAAAACGTGGTTATCGGATGCCAAGGTCATGTCTTGGATTGTGGGCCAACACGGTGTAAAACGTGACACAAATCAAGTCACCGCCACCTCTAGCAGGCACGTCTGCCGAAACGTGGCCTTTGGGCAACCACTGGGCTCAGCTCACGCTGAATTCTCTAAAAACAGAAGTGATGACAGTCCCAGCTGCAAACTGGAAAGCTGAACCTCAGCTCCCCAGCGCTGAAAGGAGCACACGAGTCATTTCGTGTTTATCAGGTGAATTTAGGAAGCTACATTATGACAGCAAGAAGCACTGAGCCCTTTGGTGTCTTTTTAAAAAAAAAAGTCCACAACACAGCTCATTTTGAGTTCCAACAGGAAGTCTGCAAGCTTGTACACAGGCTTTTAAAAAATATCTCCTTTAAACGCCCCAAGCGTCTTAAGCATCCTCTGATGCCTCTTGTATGAGACCATATCTCTCAATTTGGGAGTATCTGACTTAATAAAAATGACCTAAGCAAAGGCACCTACGGTGAGACTTTGTTGTTTATGAGGTCTTTTATCCTCTGAGCAACCAAGCTCTGGGCATGCAAGCACTGCCCTCAAGTGGCATAAGCTGTGCAGGACCTTCCACCAAGCTCCTGAGCTTGACCTGCAGCAAGGGCACAGGCAGAGGGAAAGGCTTGAGAGCTGCTTGAGCCCATTTGAGCTGTGAGGGGAGGGAAAAAAGAAGACCATTTAAAGAACATCTAGATATTTACCTTTTTGAAGAGCTGAGCCCAGGAAGTGGTCGAAGGAAGGAAAAGTCACACTTTGCCTAGGGAGGAGACTAGGGGCTCGCTGGCTGAACAGGCAGCTTCTTCCAGGCCAAAGCCTCCCCTGAATCAAGGTAGATGACGTAGCCACCAGGTCAGCAGCAGCCCATCGTGGGCTACCAGCAGCATGCACCACTGCAGCCTGCTCCTTCCTCCAGCCATGCTCCTCAGCTGTCCCACCTCCCACATCCCACCACAGGGGACGGCAGATTTAGAACAGAGATGTGACCTTTTGGCCACCTGTGAATACAAACCCCCAGCTCTAGTGCCCGTGTAGAACAACTGGATGTTCCAGCATGAATCAGGGTGAAATAATAATCCTAATTTATTCTGCTTCTCTCGACCAGTCTCTCCCTTTACTCTTCTTGCATCTTCTGACAAAATCCAGCATATGGCTAAAGGGCAAGCACGGTGAAAACAAGGACTCCCTTAGGAAGGCTGGGAATTTGCAGGAAAAAAACACTGAAAGGAGGGATAGAAAGAGATAATTAATTGCTATGGGCTTTGTTCATTGTGTTTTCTCCTAATTCCTATGGATCTTGCCCAGGTGCTACTTGGGCAGCCCTTACTTGTGCCTGGAAATCTTGCAGCTTCCCAAAGGAAAAAAAAAATGTGTGCAATACTTCAGGCCATCTCCTCTTGCTCGCTTAGCCAGGGCCTCAGCAGCAAGGCTGGGCAGGACTCTGCCACCACAGGGACACAGAGGTCTCAAAGCACCACCTGCAATTTGCAGGAAGGGCCCTTGTCCCCAGGCGTGGCGATGTGGTGCTCACAGGGTGTGGGAGAATCACAGAAACATAGAAAACATAGAAACATTAAGGTTGGAGAAGATCTCTAAGATCATCAAGTCCAACTATCACCCAACACTACCACGACCATTAAACCATGTCCCCAAGTGACACAGCTACATGTTTTTTGAACACCTCCAGGGATAGTGATTGGATGGATTCCAATGCCTCACCACTCTTTTGGTAAAGAAATTCTTCCTAATATCCAATCTAAACCTCCCTTGGTGCAACATAAGCCCACTTCCTCTTGTCCTGTCACTAGTCTCTTAGGAGAAGAGACTAACATCAACCTCCCTACAACCTCCTTGCAGGTAGTTGTAGAGAGCAATAAGGTCTTCCCTCAGCCTCCTCTTCTCCAGACTAAACACCCCCAGTTCCCTCAGCTGCTCCTCATAAGACACGTTCCCCAGACAAGGGGAACATGACAAGAAGCCATAGACATGGACACATGGAACCAGATCCAGGTGTTATATAGTGAGAGCAGAGGACAAGGTTTTGTGGAGAGGGAAATATTTTCTTGAAGCAGCAGAGGTGAAGAGTGCTACTGCTCACCAAGCTCAGCCAGGAAGGAATGGAGCAGCAGGTTATCTCACAAAGCCTCCTACAGCTGCAGACACAGGCACATAAGGAAACAGCATTCACTTTGCTCTGCTTGATTGTGTTCATCTTGGCAGGATTCTAGAGTGCCACACCAGACCTAGGGATTGGCTCAGGTCAGTTTGAAGGCAATATCTTAAATGAAGACAAAACCCATGGAAGGATCAGGGTGTGTGGCACCTGGGGAAGAACTAGGCAAGGTGCCATTCCCCAGCATGGCAAACACAGGGAAGCACATCCCCTCTACAGCTGGGGACAGGGAGCAGCAGAGGGGTGAGCAGAGGTCACCTCTGCAGCAGCTGGAGGCACAATCTCCCTCAGGCACCTCCCTGCTCCCTCCTCCTGCCCGCACACCAGCTGCCCAGCTCCCGGTTCCGTGCCTGTGGAGCAGTGCAGCCTTGTGCTGAGCACACGAGGCGGGTACCAGCCTGGGGTGGGTGAAAGCTGCCTGCTTGGCTTTGCTCAGAGACCTTGGGTGACGCCTGCACCCCTGGCTGGATGGTGGTGCAGAGCTCCTGAAAGCAGCACTGGTGTGCTACAGCGAGCACCGCTTGGCACTGGGAGGCTGGCGAGGCCCCTGCCAGGCAGAACCTCCCCTCGAGGCTAAGGAGGGATTCATGTTTTGGATGTGGGTAAAGCTTGGAGAATTTGTTCCTGTACGCAATCCAAAAAATTCTAGACAATGTCAGATCTTACCACAACAGGAAGAGACATGAAGGCCCCTAAGAGTTTACTAAAAAAATTACTCATCCATAGAGGAAGTTTTTTCCTAACTCTCCTACCTAGAGATTGATTTATGGCCAGAAGCACAAGCATTTTATAACCCTCATTAAAAATACAGCACACACCCTGCACACACCATGTTTTTAAGTGTTGTCCTCGGCAGTATCTTGTGGACAAGTGGAGTTCTCTCTCTTTTTCCTTTGCATCAAGTGCCTGTCTTTACCAGTTTTAAACGAGTCTCCCTCTCACTGGCTGTGTCCTTGTTCTCACGGTGAGAGGAGAAGCTGGAAGAGGTGGGTGACCAGAGCAGAAGCTACACAAACTGCACAACATACTACTGAAATGAACGGGGCTCATAGCTGGTTAAACAAGACATGGACTGCTGCTTCAACAGCTGCTGAACGGTGAGAGTGGTGGCCTGAAGGAGAGCTCATGTTTTGCTTGCGTTAACTGGATGTCAGTTAAACTTCTGAATCAATATTTTCATCACCTTCCCAGCTGCTTATAGAAGAGGGGACCTCTAAACCCCTCGGCAGGATGAACAAGACTGAGGGAACTTTTGAGAGCCCAGGTCTTTGCAGCCCTGGTCTCATGAAGAGCACCTCCTTCACCAGTGTGGCACTACCATTTAATTTCGGGCAGCAGGCCACGGACAAATCCCTGAATGCAATCCCTATTGTGGTCCTCTTGATCATGACAGTATCTCCTGGGTGTACGATGGGAACAGCCCAGACCACAACTCCCCTCAGGAAACCCAAAGGTGTGGCAGTGGCTGCAATGGCTCACTACGACATCATGCCCTTGAAAGTGTTTGTGTCGGGCAAGTTCTTCCAGCTGAGTGCTACAGAATCTCTTCCCATCCTCATCTGCAGCTGCTGCCCAGAGGAAACCTCTCCAACATTTCTAATCTGGCACCGAGAGGGGACGTGAACCTCAGGTAAGGAAAGCTGAGTACATGTTCATTGCCCAGGCCAATCTAGTCATATAATTGGTTCAGAAACAAGTTTAATCATCATCATCAATCCCCAAGAAGATGGTCAAAGAGTGAAATACTAAGTCTGGGATATTTTTAGGCACCTATATTGCTCAATGAGTAATTTTGTCCCTGCTTTACAATAAAATGGGACTTTGTACCTTTCTCTGAAACTTACAGCATGCTGGTTTTGATGGCATTGGTGCAGAAACACTTTCTCATCTCCACATAGCAATACATACAGCATATATACACTACGTGTATCCATACAGCAGCATAGAGTTCTGTGTAAACTGAGCACACTGCCTGACGAGGCTGCCTCAGTGTGAAACGTTGAACTAGCAGAAGACCATCCTTCAACAAACCCTAGAGATAAAACAAGATCCAGGGTGGAAATATAAAGTATCACTTTCTCTGTCACTTGTGAATCTCTGAAATGTGAGCGGTACCCATAACGAGGGTCCTTTCTGAGCTTGTATAGAACCTGAGTCATCTTCTCCCTTCTCTATTCATACCACATCTTTCTGCAACCTGACAGTGCTGTTGGGGAAATATCAACTGTGACAGGTTGGGAAAGAGGGAGGCAAAGTCTGATATTTAAACCAAGTGTCCAGGCTAGTAAGAAAATAAGCATATTCTGTTAAAAAAAAAGTGTCATTATTCTACTGAGGGGTCCTTTCTTCATCCCAGCACTGTAATGACCACATGCTCAATGGTCCTGGCAATTGGACTAACACCTCTGCTTCTGTACCTTTACTCAGGAGCACTATATGATTTGGGTGATTTGGGGGGCAAGGTACCTTACAAAGGATTGATCGCCTCCCTGGTGCTGGTGCTAATCCCCTGTGCCCTCTGCATCATGTTGAATGAGCAGAAACCACAGTACATTGGCTTTACCATCAAGGTAAGAAGTATCCTGTGCTAGTTGGCTCTCAGCCAAGGACCTCAAGGAAGTTTTCAAAAACAGACGCACAGAAATATCAACTTCTTTAAGGCATGCCACAAATCAGAGGAAGGGTTGAGGATAGAACTCATCCAGTTCACCATTTCTATCATTGAAATATTTGCCCAAAGAGAGGTCCTCCACCATTTCCAGGCAAGCAACACTTTGTAGGCAACTTCCTCCCTTGCTCTGCTTTGTTTGCTTCAGTTTCAACTGTTTTCTTGTGCTACAAGCAGCTCCAACGAGCCTCACAGGCAGTGCCCCCAATGACTGCTGCAACAAAAGCAGACCCCAGATTTAAAAAAAACAACCAAGAAACAACAAAACCAACCAACCCAAACAAACAGAAAGAACCTGCAGTTCTCAGAGGTCTAGCACGGGGCAAAAGTCTAGCAACCAAAGTTGCTGCTAACGCCAATGAGATACCTATGCACCAGAAGCCACTAGATCACTAAGCACCCACTTATGCCTGGAATCACCTCCCTGCCTCCTTTGTACATCAGGTGTTCAAGCAGCAAAAGGGAAACCTGGACAACCGACTGTGTCACTGTCTAACTCAAGAGCTCCACTGACAGTCAGGGCCTGGGGAGCTGCTAACAACAGTGTAAACCTGGTTGTTGTTTCTTTCACTAAGGCTTCACCCCAGAGAAACTAGGACCAAGCGTGGCAAGAAGTGGGTGCTGAGACTCAATGACAGACCTGATAAAGTGACATTGGGAATCACTAATCTCTAAGAAGCATCGGAATGCAGGAGTTGGGCTAGAGCAGATGGAGGAGGACCAGAGCTCTTCAAAGGTCCCTTTAGCCAGGACAGGGCAGTGATGACTAGACTGTTTCAAAATCAGCATTAAAAGCCTAGCATGACAGACAAGGTGACCTGCACTGGCCTAGCTGATTGTTGGGTCATGGTCCTTTCTGCTGACATCACCTTTCCATTTATCTTCTCTATAAAAGAGGAAGGGGGTATAGACTTGCTTTTAAAAGGCACCCGGGGAACTCCACCCAAATTGGACTCCAAAGCAGAGAGACAGGCAGAAGCACTGTGTATTCTGCCTCCCCAAACTCCCCAGCTCCTTCATCTCCCACATCACCAGACAGCAAATGAGATGATCTGAAAACACAGCCTTTGGGTGGACAAGACCCACGAAGGCACCTGGACAGAGAGACACATAGCAGTGCCTGAGAAACAAGAGGCTGGTGGGGCAAGCACCAGTCCTTCTGCATATGGACTAGAAAGGTACTTGGTCATTTAAGGTCTCTATAGGTAATATCTCAGCATGGTCTCTTGTTGGTTACTCATGTCCATGAAAGGCACTTATACAGTCTTACTCTACACTTACGTGTGTGATGGACACTGAACTGGCACAGCTGCTTCCAACAGCTCAGGCAAATTTTGCTGGAGATTTCTCTCTTCTTCGTGTCTTGACCACTTTTATTTTAGGCAGTGATTGCTGTGCTTCTACTGTCATCTGCTGCAATAATTGTTCTCTCTGTGGCCAGTGTGGGAAATGATATCATGGTCATCTTCTTACCATCCCTCCTGGGATCTTCTGTCTTGAAGCCTTTCATCGGTATCCTGCTGGGCTGTGTTCCCTCTGCAGTCTTCAAGCTTAGTGACCTGTATGTTCCTCCACTCCTCCCTCCCCTCACCCTGTCACCAGAGGGAACAGAGAGGTAGAGCAGCTCTGGCCTATGAAGCAATGCTGAACACATGGGTTTCAACACAGATGTACTTTTGTAGAATAAACAGTTTGCATTCTCCCAGAGTGGGCCCTAGGAGTACAAACTGACATGCTGCAACCTGACCCCAAGTCAATAACTCCCACACCTTGGGTTGGAAAAGAAATGAGTTCAACCTCTGCTTGGCTAATTGGACAGGGGAGAAGCTGGAGCAGGTTTTTTGACATGAATATCTATGATCACAGAAAGGGTGGAAGGCTCACTTGAACAAGCAGATGGATGGTTTTAACTTGAAGTCACTAGTCACACACTAAGTACACATTACCAGCCTCTGCTCTTCAGTAATGAACTTGAAGGAAGAGGAGAATTAATAGCACCACACACACACAAAAGCAAATAATTGGGAAATAACAACAAGATACCAAATCCCAAGTGACACAATTATTCCTCAGCTGAGAACTACCCAAACCAGTCACTCCATTCTAGGTGCAGCCCCAGGAATTCAGGATGGAAACCTTTCATATAAAACTCACTCCTTCCCTTTCTAATCCTACATACTCCAGGTCAGAAGCCTGCTGGTCCTCGCTACCTTTTACCTTCACACCTCAGACTCTTCTTTTCACCTTTCAAGCAGTGTGCATGGAAACTGGCTGCCAGAACACCCAGCTTTGCTCAGCTCTCCTCAAGGCCACCTTCACCCCAGAAATCATCAGCCCCACACTTCTTCCCACTGCTCTACTTGCTGTTCCAGCTTGGAGAGGGACTTCTGCTCATCCGGGTTTTTAGGATGCATGACAGAATAAAGAAACCAAACAGCAAGTACAGCTTTGCTCCTGTAGTTCTTAAGCTTCCCAGTCCAAACCATGTACACTTACAGTGAAACTACCAGTGAATCTTACACACCCAACACATTAAACGCAGATCAGTCAAAAGTTCAGAGGTAACTGAAGACATTCTAAATTCTGACTCCTTGCATCAGCAGAATGTTTCATAATGTTACCTGTCCTAACAGTGCTTGGAGGTTTTCAGGGTCCTGTGCTGAAACTAGGGCAGACATCCTGCAAAAGCTGCAGCTTGCACCAAGCACATGTCAAGGTTTAAGCCAGGATGGCCACTAGACATATGAGAGATGGCTCTCCACCAACCCCTCTCCCTTCCCAAAGTGGAAGAGAAAGGGAACAAGGGAGAGAGAATTATGGACTGGAAAACTAAAACAGCTTTAATGAAAATAATAAAATGAAACATATACAAACCCAGTATTGAACCCAACTCTCCTGATGGGAATTATTACATCACCAACACCACTGATGCTGTGGAGCAGGGACTGGGGACATCCCAGAGTCCAGTCTGGGATGGAAACTGCAGATGGAAACTGGATTCTGTTTCCAGACCACTGGAACGGGGGTGTTTGTGTCTGACTAAAGCTACACAAGGACATTATATGCTCTGTAATACAATTCCCAGCTTTGCTGCAAGCTGCTGAGGGATTCACTGCAGGGTCTCACTTGGGGAGTGCAGAAAGAGGACAGAACTGCCAAGCACTGCAGCTGAACAAAGGATCATTCAAAGCATTTGGATCTTTTGCTAGAAACATACATAAATAGATTCAGGCTTAATCAGTATATTGGTATAAATGAGGTAATCTCTTCTCCAGCTTCAACAGGTCCAAAATGCCAAAGCCCAATCAAGTATCCACAAAAGATGGCTGGAGAACACTGCTGAATGAGTTCCTCCACCAGTCATCCCCTTGATGCTTCCAGGCAAGCTCTCCCTTGGGACAGATAAGCAGCTGAGCAGCCACTGCTGGGCTGCTACAGGAGCACTCTGCTGGGGTCAAAAAAAAACCATTCCATTTGGAACCTGAGGTGTGCCTTCAGCACAAAGCAGTTGATATTGGAAACAGCCACAGAGGTGCTTGCAAGACCACCATAAAAAGGGTGGCTTTCCAGGCTCCAGCCCATAAATGACTGAAAACAAAAGGGCTTAAATTTGTTTTGGGAGGACTTTATAGCTACTTCCTTTCTCCTTAGGTCACTCAGCAACACCAACTGTAGCTGTGTCACAATCTTTCCATAACATGGTTTCTGAACTGCCTGTTCTCACTACAGTTTTCCTCTTCTTCAGAAGCAGCAAAAATGGTCTGCAGAGGTAAGGACACAGCTGGTGCTCAAGAAGAGAAACCACTGTCAAGACCCTGAAGAAACACTGTGACAGGTCAATACCAATGAATTCTGCAGCAGCCTCCATCAAATCCCCTCCAATCTCCACCTTCCACAGCCAGCTCACAGGTCTCCAGCAGTGATAAGACTTCCATCTATATGTTCATTTTACACCAGACAAAGGGATCACCACAGAGTTATCTGCACCCTCACCATTATTTCCCAAAGACCTTGCTCCAGGTTAAGCCTCTCCCTGCCTGCCCATGAGAGACTTCCAGTGACTTTCAGGTCACCATGACAACCCTTCAGGACAGCTTACTGCCACGCTCCCAAGCCACTGCCCCCAGTTTTGCCCATAGGAAGATCCCTGCCCACATCAGTTGTTCTTTAATTTCACTTACCTGTACTCGCCCTGCTGGTGCATGTTGGAAGCAGCTCCTGAAGACATTGTGGGAGCCACCAAGACCCAGCGTGCAGCTGAGCAGCCCATGGCCTGACGGTCACTCCCCGTTTCCACAGCCCAAGCACCGTGCAGTATACTGCAGATGTGGTGCTGAGGGATCTGGTTTAGTGGCAGATTGGCAGTGCTGGGTTAATGTTTGGATTTTATCATCTCAAAGGTCTTTTCCAACCAACAATTCTATGATTCCATGTAGCAGAGGCCACAAAAAACTGAGCACAGCTATGCAAGCTGCCACACTATGTCAGGTTTGGGTGCAGCAAGCTGCACCTCTGAAAATCTATGAGCCTTGAACGTGCCTTGCTGTGTAGAAGGCAGTGCACTAAGTAGAGATCCTCTTCAGGAGGTGATCACCCAGCTACTGGCACCCTACAAACACAAGGAGGGGGGAAGATCGGTGTGAACATCTCCAAGGAGCTAAGCATACATTGTAACCTGAAGTCACCCATCGTAACCAAGAATGAACAGGCTTGTTCATGAACCTCTGCTTCAGCAGAGCAGAATCATTTCTGAACACAACCCTCTGTAACACAAGGCCTGGGAGCCTGTTTTGAACAGGAAGTTCATCATGACAAGAGGTGCTCCCTGGGTGAAAGGCAGACATCTCTTCAGGATGCAAGGCAAGTGGCGTGCTCTAGAAACAGAACTGGAACTATTTACAGAGCAGGTACTGCTTTGTATTTAGCCTGAGGGAGGGAAGTGTCTGAAATCCCTCCCCCTCCAATGGTCAGGTGCCTTCAGGCACGCTGAGTTCCAGCTGGAGCCCAGCGCCACTGGGACACAGATGCCTGTAAGCACTGAAGGCAGCAGGAACGACCAGCTGAAGCAGCCAACCTTCCACCCCACCTCACCCCCGGGTGTGGCACTGCTGCCTTGACCCCAGGAGGTGAAGGTCCTCTTCATCCACACCCCTTACGGTGACCCATATCTGAACTGCTAACCCCTGAGAAGGAGGCCTCCCACCCCCCAGGGCTGACTAGGGATAATCCCATTAACTGTCCCCGGCGCCTGCTCCTGGAGCTCCTGGCAGCCGGCAGTGCCACCCTAAGGGACAGAGGAACACAGCAGCAGGGCCTGCAGACACCGAGCGAGGGGACGCCCACGGGCAGACCTCGCTCTGAGCACAACCACCTTGGCACTTCCTAGGACCCAATCCACAGCCTAGCCTAGCCTCCAAAGATCTTTAAAAAGGTTTCAGTGGATTACTGGAGTAGCGCTTGATAAGAAAAACGTTATTCTCTAAATTAAATTGTTAAAGTTCTCGAAGTTGGATGAGGGCTTGAGAAACACAGGAATCACACAAGGTGCCCTTCAAGGCACCAACGCTAAAACATACTGCAGGACTCCCACCCACCAACAGAAAAATCCCTCCTCTTCCTCCAGAACGAGGCCTAAGGCACTTCATCCACAGCTCTGCGTGTGCACAATGTGTGTGTATCCACATTAAACATCCCACACTATTCTCCAATGTGATTGAAAGCTCCAGGACCAGCACGAGGAGCGGTCGCAAATGCTCAAGAAGGCCACGAACACATGAGAAGCAGAGACATGTTTCTTTATACTTTATTTGAGCTATTTAAGTATCAAGAATTAGAGTGCTTTATAGAATATTATCACAGGGCAGTGAAATGGGCATTTTCTTAGTGTAGTGCAATTCATACTAAATGAAAAGCCTTTAAAATAGGTTTATTACCATCACAGACCAGCACTAAATCTGCTGACCTACAACTGAAACAATGGTTCAAAAGCACATAAAAATACCCTCTGAAATAAAGCTTTATGTACAGCACATGTAGAGCTCTTAGATGCCTAAAGGTACTAGTTTGGATACTCACATTCCAAGTTGCTATTCACAGTTGAATATACCAGGAATTAAGTGTTCAGATGACTTTTTTTTTTTTTTGAGTACAAAATATTAGTCCGCTTTAGTTATAAAGAGCTCTGCCAATATACACAAACTATACACTTCAGACATTCACAAAAAATGTGAGCAAGAAAAGGGTTATCAAAAAACATTTAATACAATTAGTCAATAACCCTTCCCACCATGGTCCACATCTACAAAGTCCCCCCCCGATCCCTCCCTCCCCCTCCAAACCCTTCCCCACAGAAAGTCACATACTTACCACAAGTTTAGCAAGTATGGTTTTAAAAAGGCCCCCCAGGGCAAGTTACTCATAGTTCAGTTGCCACTGTCAACAGATCTGGACCTCGACCGCGACCTCTGCCGGTCCACAGACGAGGGGGATTTGGAGCTGCTCGAGGAGCCCCGTTTCTGGCTCTTCTCTGGCACGGGCGACCTGCTCACCGAGCGGGACTTGCTGCGGCTCCTGCTCCTCCACCTGCTGTAGGACCTGCGGCTGGGGGAGGGGGGGCGGCTGGCGGCTGCGGGACCTGGAGGAGCTCCTGCTACGAGACCGTGACCTGCTTCTGGACCTGCTGAGGGAACGAGAGCACCGGTGGAGTCAGCGACAGGACCTCGTGCACCGCGGCGACAACCAGGCTGCCTGGCCGCTGACCTCAGAGCTTCCCCCATCAACATTCTAGAGCTGCTCCAGAAACAGGAATCCTTACCTGTGCCTTTTGCTGCCCTCGATTAGTTTAATTTTCCTTCCATTAATTTCTTTACCAGAAAGCTTTTCAATAGCATTCTTTAAATCACCGTAAGAGGCGAATTCAACCACCCTGCAGGGAAAAAAAAAAAAAAGGAATCTTAAACACAGAGCTCACTACTACAAGTTGAATATTTGATGGCAGAGCAACACATGCTCTGGGGAACAAAACAAAACCAAAAAAACCCACAATGAAACACCCACAGAAAAAAAAAAAAACACAACTTGAAACACCTCAGGCTGCTTGGTGTAGTCAACCCTTGTCATAACTCAAGCAGGAGCCAAAGACCACCCTCCCCAAAATAGCAGCGAATGCTTTTTCAAAGGGTAGCTAAATTAAACCCTGCACAGCTGCCGAGCACTGAAAGCAGCCAGCTTCCCAGGTACTGCACGTATAAATATTACTCCACTGCTTTCAAAAGATTATTTTAGAGGCTTACCCTTCATTTAACTTAGGTCTGTGTGCATCTGCAAAGGTTACTTCCCCAGCTTGTCTCATGAAGTCTTTGAGATCCTAACACAAGACCAGTTATGTTATGCAAAGAAATGAAAGCAATCCTTATCTATGTAAAAATAACTAAAAACAAGCCAAATAAATTTATGACTACTGAAAGAGAAGACGTTAGATAAATTACAAACGTGGCAATCGCCACACTTGTATTCTATCAAAATTGAATTATCTCTATCTAGGGCACGAAATAAATGAAAATAAGCATATTGCTTTAAGCAAAATGCTAATAAAGTTGTCTTAATATTTAGGGAATTATTAGTCTACAAAGATTATGTAATTAAATAGGAAAGGAAGAGAGAGAGAGAAAGAGAAATCAATAACATTTGTATATATACAGGACTGAGCGTGAAATACTACCCACATATTTCTGTACTATTTCAGTCTCCCTTTTTACATTACGAGTCGTTATATGCATACAGAATTACAATTACGTAACACCAATTATTTTGTGCCCCGTACGTCATTAAAAATATAGTTTACTTTACCTTCATTAACATTTCCCTAGGCTAGCCAAGCGGCACACTGCATTAAGCGACCGGAGATACCGTCATGATCTATGCCCGACTGGCTCTTCGCCACCCACTTGTCGACCACTACCCAGCCGAGGGAAGCCATTAATCGCACTGCCCTCCCTATCAGCAGACTAGGGCTGGATCCAGACATTCTCTACGCTCGATGGCACCAAGGACCACTTTACTGCGATCGGGATTCCAACGACCACCTAATTTCGTATCTTTCAATTCTTTTCGACCGGGGACCTCTTTATGCGGAAGCGTTACAGGAGGAACAGCTCTCAACTTAGGAATCAGATCTCGTTAACGCTCTGGGATCGCTGCAATGTGGCACTTTAAGGAGTGCATCGATTACGTCTAGACCGGCAAACACAGATCTAGAGGTGGCCAAGTGACAGTGGAGGAGCTGACTGGAAAGTCAACCAGGCCCGACCAAGAGTGACCAAGACAGAACGATTAGGATAACCCACAGGCACTCCTCGTCATAAGGCCAACGACACAGATAGGCTGGCAAATAAAGGGTTTAATATGTGGTTAAAATGGATTTTAAAAAACAAGAAAAAAAAAATATATCCTCAAATATATACATTTATTATTATTATAAATTAAAATTAACTAGTTTTCATTCAAAACATTAAAATTACATTATTTTAAAATTACGTTAATTATGTAAACATTTTAAGTAAGTTATCATTAACTTTAATTAATTATTTTACAAAACAATTACATTACATACCCCTTAAATGAAGTCAAAATAGTTAATTGTGTTTCAACAAACCTGCCAGCTGACTCGGGAAGACAGATTTTCTACTATGAGGCGATTTTCTGTTCTTAGAGGTGGGGCACTTCTGTTTGGAAATACACAATTGAGACAGAGTACAAATATAAACACAGGTAGACATGAACAAGGGCTGTATCAATAACTGGAATCAGAAAATTACTACAACTAAACTACATAATGCCCTGAGTAATCTGGAACAAGTATTACATACTTTGGGGAGGAGCATAAAGATGAAGAGTATATTGGAGAAGTTTTGTAATCCTCACTATCCTATAGCCACGTCAAAGGATTGACTAAAAAGGCAAACAAGCCTTTTACTATCTCATTCTAGCTCAAGTTCTTCAGTCAGATGAGGGCACGGTATTTGTTTTCAAGAGACATCAGTTCAAAGCCATACATACCTCCTGTCACTACGTAGACGGCGGCTGCTAAAACGGTCAGAGTACCTCCCTCTGCCTCTACCCCTAGAGCGTGCTCTTGCATGCTCAATTGTAACCCTGGGGAGAAAAACAGAAGGAAAACCATACATTTTTACATTTTCCTTCTTATGTATTTGTTCACAGTTATAGAGGAAAAAGACTCCACAGGTTAAACAGTACTGATAACGCAACACAAGTTAAGATTGACTCATTTCTTATTTTATTCAGGTTTATATATTCACGAACTAGGACACCTCACCTCTCACTGCAAAGCTCTTTTCCATCCAATTCGTAGACAGCATCATCCGCATCCCTCGGATCCTCAAATTCCTGCAAAAAAGACCAGAACAAAACCACTCAAGTCAAAAAATTATATCTCGAAAAAAATAGGAAATGCCGATTTGCTAACGAATATACTTGGCTGAGAGCGTTAATGACGTAATTTTAAAAAATAGACCCGTGACCCCCAAGGGGCGCGGCCCGGCAGAAGAGCGCACTCACCACAAATCCAAAGCCCCTCTTCAGGTCGATGTCGCGGATGCGGCCGTACCCCTTGAAGAACCTCTCCACGTCCTTCTCCCTGGCGGCCGGGTTCAGCCTCCCGATGAAGACGCGGCAGCCGCTCATGGCTGTGGGTGCGGAGCTCGCTGGGGGAACACGGCGC